TAGAGATGAGGTCTCGCCAAGTTGCCCAGGCGGGTCTCGAACCCGCAGGCTCAGGCAATCCACTCACCTCAGCCTCCCAAAGACGCGGGATTACAGGCTGAGCCACTGAGCCTGACTAGGCCTTTTTAAAAGGAAACATAATTTTCAGGGATCCCCAAACAAGAAATACTTTGTTAGACAGTGAGGTACTTATGAGGCAGAGACATGGTGCAGTCCCCTTTACAGTTCCTTGTAATTTTATGGGCATAAGTGTTTGACTCTGAAAATGTATTAGGCGACTTCTAGGCTATTTAAGCTCAGGGACTGAATTTGTTCCTGTAACAAAATATTGGAAATTTTTTATGTAATTGGGTTTTTGTTTACTCTAAAACATCAGTTAATTCTAAGTGATTGCTTGTGAATATGGGTATTGTGTAAATATATGTACTATTATTTCTCCAGGGAAGAAGGTTATTTTGAAATTCTGTGGTGCTTTTCATAGTGGGTTATTGCCAAGATTGAAGTCATACTGTTTAATAAAAATACCTTTTATCTGGGTTAGTAGGATAGTAAAGCTTTTGTGAGCTGTGATTAGGAAGTTAAGCAGACATGCAGGGAAAAAATTGTGGCATAGTGCAACATAACTGATGAGGAGACAGCATGAGGTATGTCCCTCATCGAGTTACTAGTTTATGGACAAACTGTTGGGATCTGATACTGATGGCCGTGACAGCTGACATTTGAGTGCTTGCACTGTGGTAAGCACTTGACTTGGCACCCTCACAGCAACCCATCTGGCAGGGAATATTAGCCTTATTTCACAGATGAGGACATTGAGGTTTACTGAATTCAAGTAGCACCCCCAAGGTGAGGCATAGCAGCATTCAGCCCCAGGTGATCCTGTATATTCCAGAACCTGTGGTGGTAGAACAAGGTGTGATTTCAGATATGGAAAGGGGAGGAAACTTGTTAGGCTATGTCAGAGTCACATATCTAAAACATACTGATTTTTAACATTGTTCAAATTAGAAACTGTACTAGCATTTAAATGACACTTGTTTGTTTAAAAAAAAATGTTTAAAATGTAAGTTCTCACTAGCAAGTTTGGAAGGCATTCTTCAGTTCTCCTAAGTGTGTTCATAGTTGCCCCTCCCTCCTTTCAATGCCTGGAGATGCATAAGTGGAAGAGTAAACACTGCCTGCATAGAGCACATCAGAGTTTCATCTAGGTTCCCTTGGGAACGACTAGTAGATACAGATTTTCACTGTGTTGCACTAGTTCTTCACTATCATATGGTGATGTCTGGTTGTTGAGAAGTGTTCATGTTTAATTGCTTTGGCAAGAATTTTTTTTGAGTTGAGGTCTCACTGTTGCCCAGGCTTCAGTAGTGGCACAATCATGGCTCACTGCAGCCTCTACCTCCTGAATTCAGGGAATCCTTCTGCCTCAGCCTCCTGTCAGGCATCTGACTCCCCACACCTGGCTAATTTTTAAATTTTTGGTAGAGATAATGTCTCGCTATGTTGCCCAGGCTAGTCTTGAACTCCTGGGCTCAGGAAATCCTCCTGCCTCAGCCTCCCAAAGTGTTGGGATAATATACATGAGTCACTGCAACTGGCTATCGTCTTTATACTATACCTTTTTATATCTTGATATTCTTGTTCAGTGGCAGCTTGTTCTTTGAGCTGTAATATGGAAATAGATATATACCTCAAATACTCAGGCCCAGATTGTTCTTGTCGATTTGGTGTAGGTAGTTGTGGATATTGCAGTGTAAGACTGTTCCTGAGGAAGGCACAGACTAAAAAGGGAAACAATCAGTTCAAATCCTGAACTTTGTCTTAATGGAAATAGAGAGAGTTCCTGCTATGGTTTAATGTTTGTCCCTTCCAAAATTCATGTTGAAACTTAATCCTTAATGTGGCAATATTGGGAGGGGGGCTTAAAGGGGTGATTGGGTCATGGGGGCTCTGCGCTTGTGAATGGATTAGTCCATTATGGATTAATGGATTGTCCTGGGACTGGGACTGGTGAACTTTATCAGAGGAGGAAGGGAGACCTGAGCTAGCACGTGCACACGTTCAGCTCTCATCAGGTGATGCCTGTGCTGTCCAGGACTCTGCAGAGTCCTCACCATCAAGAAGACCCTCACCAGATGCAGCCCCTTGACCTTGAACTTCTTAGCCACCATAAGATGTAGAAGTAAATGCCTTTTCTTTATAAATCACCGACTTTCAGGTATTGTTTAAAGCAACAGGAAACAGACTAAGACAGTTCTTCACCAAATTCCAAACTATTAGGATTTGTCACTTGAAAGAGAATTTTGGACAAGTGAAAGGATGCAAAACCTGGATCTTTTTGTTTTTGTAGAGTGGTGCATGCAACTTTAAATATAAGTGTACTAGTGCTGGACCCATGATGATGTATTGCAAAAGTTAGAAATATTTTAGGTAAATGACTAAATTTTGCAGGCTATTGTAATAAGTAGTTGTTAGCATATTCTTTAAACTGCACCTTTGTACCGAGGTCACACAGGATGTGTAATTGGATAGGTCATCTCATGTGACCCAGGAAGCCTCGTGTAAAACAAGTTTAGATTGGTACTTTCTGATATCAAGGGTTTTATTCTGTTAATTGATTACTTCATCAAGTTCTGGGTTAAACAAATTACCTTTACTTTATCTACCCTATTAGAAAAACTAATCGGCTAATATATATTTTACTGTTATTTATCTTAGGCATTACAGGGACTGTAACAGAAAACTTTGGCCATGCTTGTAGGATTTATAATCCAAAACATCTATTTAGGCTGCTGTTTTTCATCTGTCATGAAAGGTGACAGTAGCCCTGAAACCCCGTGGATTTGGGGAGGTACCTCAAGAAAGTCAGAGACCTTTTAAACGAATGCCTTTAGGGACAACTTTGGAGTATGGCATTCTCACTACCCTGTACATATAAGTCATATTTGAAAGCCCTATATACTCTGTAAAGTTTATCCTGCCTTAAAAAAAGTATCACACTTACCATGTGAATGTATATAATTAAGGAAAATTACTTTCTTAAATATAACTAATATTCGAGCACCTACTTTGTACTTATGTTAGTAATAAGTGGGGACAACGACAGTGAAGCTCTCTGTTCTTACAGAACTTCTTTTCTGGTGGAGCAAGACAGATAATTTAAAAATTAATCAGATAGTGATGTGCAGAAAACTAAAACAGGAGATGTGATAAAGTGGCTGGTGGCTGCTTGACCTGGCAGAGAATCTGGAGAGTTAGAAGGAGCTAGCTGGTTTAGGGGTGATTTGGACGAGATGGGGGGGATTCAGGACTGAGGGAACAGGCTGCAAGCCCTAAAGAAACAAGATGCTTGGCAAGTTCAGTTTATCAAGAGAAAGTTCATACATCATGCTTTTGTTTAAAAAAAATGACAATGTATAGTGAAATATTTCAAGTGCTTTTCTCTCTTGTCAGGAATCTTCTGGTGCATACTTTGTGTTTTCCAGCACATTCGAGTTGGTAATATGATACTTTTAAACCGGAACCTTCCTCTGACATCCTGGAATATGTTTCTGTACTTCCTGCATTTCTCTATCATGAATGACTGCTCTGACAAAGACTATATCTTTGGAACACGCCTTCAGCTAACTTTTTTTTTTTTTTTCAGTTCACTAGAAGAAAATCTAACTCTGTCAGTAAGCAAGTACATAATAGGACGTGTGTTTCTTAATTTGTCTTTGCCAGTGAAGAAAATGAATGTTTTCAGTCCTGCTGCATTCTTAGTCATTCTGACCAAGAGCCTTGTGGCCCTGAGTAAGCATTTAGAACTCGGGATCAGCCAGGGGAGCATGCTGTAGTTGCAGGGTTTTTTTTGTTTTTTGTTTTTGTCGGAGTGTCACTCTTGTTGCCCAGGCTGGAGTACAGTGGCACACTCACAGCCACTGGGCTAAGGTGATCCTTCTGCTTCAGTCTTCCAAGTAGGAGGAACTACAGGTGTGTGCCACATCCGGGTAATTTTTTGATTTATTGTAGAGATGAGGTCTTGAACTCTTGGGTTCAGGCAGTCCTCTCTCTTCCGCCTCCCAAAGTGCTGGGATTATAGGAGTGAGCCACTGTGCCCAGCTTGGAGTTTATCATGCTTTGAAATATTTTAATGAACTGTATTCCATAGAATTCAGTGCAAGTTAGGATGTGTGTGTTTTATAGAAACAAATTTTACTCCATAAAATTTGTACTTGCACCAGACACGTATACCCTAAGAAACATTCACTCGGTAAATGCTTGTTGATCATCTGTTCTCTGCCTGTTTCTGAGAAATACAAAGAGTAGAAGCATGGCCCCAGCAGTCTAACCGCTGATGGGGGGAGAGGCAGACACTTTGTTACTTTCCCGCAGGCTTCTTCCCCATAAGTCCTACTCATGGATGGTCTTGAGTCTTCCTTGAAAAATGTCAGCATCTCTTCTTCCTCTTCCTTCTCCTCACCCCCTCCCTTTTAGTAGTTTAGCAGAGTCAATAGATGAGAAAAATTATTTGCATTTATGTATTTGTTTTTAATCTACCAAAAAGGATCTGTGATAAATGTTGACATACTGTGTATTATATTGCTGCCGCTGAGTAAACATGTAACCCAAGCTTGTCATAAAGCTCGAGCATCCCAGGCTCCTGCAGTTATAATGGACTCTCCTTACAGTTAGGGTAGGGTGGGGCAGCAGAGAGTCTCAAAGAAAAATGCCTGTTTAAATTCCATGTGTCTCAGATGACCCCTGGAGCCTACAGCCTGAACATAGTCCACTTCCATGCTGTTAAAATAATTTGACTGTGGCAGCTGGTAAAACTCCAGTTTTTGTGCTACCCGAGTCTTTCAACCGGCAGGTATAAATTGGATTAAATAAAACAACTTTGTTAAGCTGGCTAAACAATGATTATATAAAACCAAATACAGAAAAGGTGAAAATAGGGCAGGATTGATATAATCAGAGTAATAACAGTATAAAAGTATTACAGTAGTTCTTATTTAAGAATAACGGCAATAACAACACTGATGTTGATGGCAGAAAGTGATTTGTCAAAACTTTACATCCCAGCCAGTGCCTGTAGTCCCAGCTACTCAGAAGACTGAGACCAGGAGGATCCCTTGAGCCTTGTGCCTAGAAGATTGAGACCAGCCTGGACAATGTAGCAAAACCCTGTTTCAAAAAAAAAAAAAAAAGGAATTTTCTTTGTTAATATAGTAGTGACTTTTAAAAAAAAACCCTTTCAAGTAGGATTTTTTAATTTGTCTCCTTTAAAAAAAAAAGTGAAATTTACAAAAAGAAGATAATGTACATTATTGAAAGAATTGTGTTGGATAATCAGAAAACATTTCTAAAGGATGAGTCAAAGCCACACAGACCTGAGAAAGTGATCAGTGGGAGGGACTGGCAGAGGAGCCTGAAGTACTTGGGCTGAAGAGAGCCGGTTTTATGCTGGTGGTTAAGGACAGAGCTAGGGACTAAGCCATTTGCGGGAGAACAGCAAAGCCTACATTTTAGACATAGTTTTAAATATTTTTCAAGTGCACAATTAATAGATTTGCTTTTTAAAGAAGACACTAAAAAGTATTCAAGAAAGCAAACATCACTCATAATTCCACCATCCAGAGACAACTGGTGTTAATATTTTGGTTTGTTTTGGAAGTATCTGTATGTATGTGATAGTGCGTGGTTTTCCCCTAACACCACAAATATATTATTAAATTATGAGTTAACAAAATATTTCAGGGCAATAATGCAAGCATGCCTCTGGGTACCAGGGCTTTTCCTTGATCTTGGTTTTTTTTTTTTTTCTATTATAATTTTGTTAAAACATTTTGATGAACACACCTTCTACACAAATGTTTGTTTCTTTCTCATCTTCTTAAGAATAGATTCCTACAAGTGGAAGCAGTAGGTCTAAAGGCATAAGTGCTGAGGCTGATAAGTGCTGCTAGATGACTTTCTAAAAAGATTCTTCTCTATTGATCAACACTTCCTGAAGTCTGAAGGCCTTTCTCTCTCTGCCCTCACACATCTTTGAATACTGCCTAGCTGTCTTATTGGTCAATTTATTAGGTAGAAAATATTATTATTATTTTATGTTTTTTGAGTTGGGAGTCTCTGTCACCCAGGTTAGAGTGCAGTGGCACAATTGTGGCTTATCACAGCCTCACACTCCTGGCTCAGGCAATCCTGCCTCAGCCTTCCAAGTAGCTGGGACTACAGGCATGTGCCACCACACCCAACTAATTTTATTTATTTTTTATAGTGATGAGGTCTTGCTATGTTGTTCAGGCTGATGGTTCACTCTTGGGCTCTAGCAATCCTCCCTGGTTTGGCCTCCCAAAGTGCTGGGATTATAGGCATGAGCCACCACGCCCAGCCAAAAATTTTATTTTAATAACTTCAGAAATTGTTGGTAAGAGTAACTTTCATTTCTGAAAGAAGCTGTGAAGTCTTTGGAATGGTCCTTTTTTACTTGACCGTTGGTGGGAAGTAAATGATATATGTAGACAGTGGACTTGGAAAGGAGTAGGTAGTTGTGTTTATGACATGAGCTATTTGTCAGATTGGAGTTGAAACAAAACCTAGTTGGACTAGAGAATATTATCATGGTAAGTAGAATGCTAAAAGATTTAAGGTGACTTTTAAAACATGGAATGGCATAAGGGTAGAGTTTGGGGGCATTTCAGCAATGCACTGTATGGAACTACCATTGATTCTTCACAGGAGAGAATGAGGTTGATTAAAAACATATGACTGTATAGCAGATTCTAGAATAAAAGTTAAAAGATGTGTGCAATAAGATGGATGTTGGCCGATTTTTTTCCTACCTCTGCTCTTAAACGCATCTTTCTTATGATATCTAGAGCAATGGTCTCCAACCTTTTTGACATCAGGGACCGGCTTTGTGAAAGACAGTTTTTCCATGGATGGGGGGAGGAGGGAAGGATGGTTTCGGGATGATTCAAGCACTTAACATTTATTGTGCACTTTATTTCTATTATTATTACATTGTAATATATAATGATAATTATGCAACTCACCACCAAAAAAAAGAGGCACAGATGAAAGTGGTAAATAAAATAATGGGTGGTAGGCCACACATGGTTTAAAATAATTATTGGACTCTGACGTAAATCCTGCCACCAGATGCAACTGTATAATTGAAGTATATCAACATACTTGCCACTCACTGATAAGGTTTTTATATGAGTCTGCAAGCAGTTGATTTATTATGGTCTCTGTGCAGTCAAACCTCACTGCTAATGTTAATCTGTATTTGCAGCCACTCCCCAGTGCTAGCATCACCGCCTCAGCTCCATCTCAGATCATTAGTCTTTAGATTCTCATAAGGAGCACACAACCCAGATCCCTGGCATGTGCAGTTTACAACAAGGTTTGTGATCTGACAGGAGGCAGAGTTCAGGCGGTAATGTGAGTGATGGGAGCAGCTATAAATACAGATGAAGATTTGCTTGCTTGCCTCCCACCGTGTGTCTCAGTTCCTCCATGGCCTGGGGATTGGCCCTGGTCTAGAGCACACAGTGGTTGTTGCCCAGTATCTTTTCTTGACTATTTTTTTCTTTTCCCCAGCGCGCCAGTCACTTTTTTATCAATTGATTTTTTTTTTTTTTTTTTTG